TGGCATTAAAAATCAGTTTATAGTCCCAGTCTGACAGGGTGATGGAAGAGCCAGGCAAACACCACTGAAGACAGGAGAAAGGGAAAAAGTTTCCTCTCAGAGCAGGATGCCATTTGAAAATCTGAGATTTTGGAGGAGGTCTGAGGTGGGGAGGGAAGGAAAGGTCCAATAAATGACTTCTGTATGGAGAAGGCTCCAGAGAATAACTTGCTGTAGCTTCAGTGAACAAAGGTTTCATTGTAGAAGCAGCTCTGCTTGCAGCAGATGAGGGCAGCTATGAATTCCCAAGCCAGACTGCAAAAATTCCTCAGTAACACAACGAAAATCTTCACAGAGGAGTTACTTCCCCAAGCGGTAATATCAACACCACACAGGGAAGTTTAAAATAGCTTCACGTCTGCAGCGAACAAGGGTTAAATATGCTATTTTATAAGCATAAAATTCAAAAATCGATTGAGGGAAGGAATAAGACGTTCTGATTCAGACTAAGACCTGTATCAGGAGATCAGTCTCATTGGCAACCTATTACTTCATTGTAAGAGAAAACTGTTTCTTTTGCATCAACAGGTCTCCCCTTTCCCAAGGCTTTATCTCTGCTAACTGCAGCCCTGAATGGGAAGACAACACTTCTACAGAAAGTATAAAGCAGCAGTTACTACACAGGAGGATACAATCTGAAAGTCTTCCCACGCGGGTACCAAACCAGAGGTGCTCGCTCGGCGCTCTCTGTATAACAGCACGAGCACCATGTGCATTTTTAATAAACTTTAGACTCTAACAACCTGCCACAACACACACGGATCGCTATCTTTTTCCCTTACAGACTTTTTTCTTAAGATAAAAATGAGGCTTCTTACCTGAGCTGATGCTGCGGTTAACAGCTGACATAGGAAGAGAAACCCAAGAGCGGAGAATCCAGCCATCGTGCCCAGGCTCTGCCTCTCTTCGTTCCTCCCGGGCAGCTAAACTGTTTCTTCTCCAGGGTCCAGCAGATCCCTCCTCCTCCTGGGTCTCAGCTTACATAGGAGAGACTCCTCGCCTCCAGATAAACCTGCAGCTCCAGCTGAAGGGGCAGAACTCAGGAGCTCAGGCAAGAGGGGCTGAGCTGGGAGGAGAGAGGAGGTTTGGGAAGGAGGTGGGAGAAGGAGGGGGAGCAGCAGTCAGTCAGGAAGAGAAGCATTCATTCATGCCCCACTGGGCAGCCCCAGCCCTGAGCAAACAGGGAAGGAGCCTGTGGAAGGGTCAGGCTTGCAGGGACGCCGCAGAGGCAAAGTTCAGCTGCTCCAGTTGGAGATACAGAGATGTTCCTTGGGTCTCACTCGAGCCATATCTCAAAGCCCATCACCGCCTCAGTGCGGGACATGAGAAGTGAGTTATTCAGTGCCTGAGGCTACCTAAATTCACTAGAGAAATTAATGTACCTGTAACAATTATAAGATGCACTAGAAAGAAATGCACTTACTGCTTTGTGAGACGGTTTATTAGCTCTGGAGGTATATTCACATCTGTGGTTTGGGGTTTTTTTCAGGGAGATCTAGAGAATGCCAACTGCTTTCTTGACAAAGCAGTGAATCCTGACCAGAGAAGAGATGATCATAGATACAAGGAAGCAGCAAAAAGGAGAAGTATTCTGAGAGTTAGAGGAAAAAAAATAAGGAATAATTGCCTATGAAATATTTGCAAGGATACAGGATGACCATTTTCTCAGCTATATGACCACAAATGGCAATATAGTCACAAAGATGCATCTCCTGTAAATAGCTTCATGCTTCCCTTTATTAAAGACAGTTTCATCCAAATCGGAGCTTGGAAGCGGAAAGGAACAGTGGCAAGATTCATCAGGACTGAAACGACACAGCTCATTCAGTTAGCAAGAGGAGAGCAGAAGTGGAAACGCAAAGCTTAAAAATAAATAATAAAAAAACACCAGGTTCCACTTTGGCATCCTTACATGGGAAGGTTTATATAAGCACATGGTGTGTGTGAGCCCAGCTCCCCAGCAGCCAACGTTCCACCAACCCTGACAGAGGAATAAAGGGCTCAAAGATTTACCAAGTTCTTCAAGACTTTGTGGAACAGGCAGTTGCAGACAGAAAGGGAGCGTGTGTCTCTGTGTCTTCGGATGGTTTCAGAGCTGAACACTTTATTAGACATCACACACCTGGGAGAGCAGTGCAGTTGCAGGAACTGCTTTGCACAGAGCTTGCAGCTCCTTCACACTGAGGCCAAGTGATGGCAAGAGAGAAGGCAAAGCAGATCCAGATTCCTCGGCCACACATTGCTCACAGCAAGCCAGGGCTTGGAGGGCTGCTGCAAGCAGAGCCTGCTTATGGCCAGCAAGGGAAGAGCCCTGGGAGTACCCACCTTCAAGTCCACACCACTGAACAGGAGGAGGACCAGCTCCTTCTCTCCCTTCACATCCCCAGGCACAGGGAGCACAGATGAAGGGACACAGTGACTTGCAGAAGTCATTACCATAAAGACACCCCATGCTCGTGTCCTGAAAGAAAAGGCCCACTAGGCTACAGCCCCACATGCAAGCTGGGCAGCTGCCCTCCTGTCTGCTGGCCCCAAGAGCTACTCAGAAGAAGAGATTTGAAGTTTAGAAGAAGAAATCCTTGTTCACTCTACAGAGCATCACAACACACACTTGGGGGACAGCAGCACGGAGCCAAGCCGGGGCACGCCAAAACATTTCCAAGTCCCTCATTCAACCAGAAGCATGCCTGGGAGGGGATGTCTTTTCCCCACAAACATTCACCTGCCCCGTTTCATGGCGGTGGAGGAAGCCTGAGCATCATCTCCACACGGAACAAGGAGCGGGTTTCTCTCAAGGTGAGCCCACCAGAGCTCTGCTTGGCAACACGGAGCAGCCCCACGTACCCACAGGCTGGAGGTGCCCAAGTCAGAGCAGGCAGCGACGGGGGGCAGTGGGGCAGATACATGGTCACCTCCTGCCCTTAAAGATGAAAAAAACCACAAACCATCGGTGGAAACCAGTATGCATTAAAAGTCATGCTTTAATAGGCAACATTAATGGAACAGAATGTGATACAGCTCTGAGCGCTGGGAGAAAAACAATCCTGTGAACTCACTGCAAACACCTACAGCCAAAACGCTAAACCTGATCACGACAGGGAATGGTTTGGTTTGACTAGGGTTCACAGTGAAATCTCATTACACACAAAAACAAATCCCACATCACCGTAACGAGATTTATGATCTATGCCCCAAGTGAGCACATAATCACAAGGGAAACTTCATTAAATAAAAAATTACTATAAATCTGTACAAAAGCCACAATTAACAATTTCTTATGAATCTTTTACGAAAGAATTTTCACTCAGCGTCTTCAGCTATTTGTATCTGTAGTCAAGTGTATTCTCATTGGTTATTTAACTCCATTTGTTCGTAAGGAAAAAAAAAGAAATATTTTAAAAACATTAAAGCCTTTTTCCAGCACGTGTTTGACCACGAGCATCAGATGTTAAGCTGGCAGACTTTTATTCCCCCACACACATGTATGTGACATGCTGGATCGGGACGGCAAGTCATTGATCAAATTCCTTGAAAGATGAAGCTTCTTAAGAGCTGTAGCAGAGAGAGGAAAAAACTCTAATATTGCACGGGCTACTGCAGCTGCTCTCTGGCAAGGCGGGCAAACCTCTAGCCACCTCCTACACAGAACAAACAGTGCCTAAAAACCCCAAAACTAAACCAATCTGAGCAAATGGCAAGTCCAGACCTTCTGGCTGTTGGAAACGGTCTCCTCTGCTCCAGGAAACGGGTCCTCTGTTGTAAACCTCGAGGAGTGAAAGTGCTAAATCGTTTAATGCTCCTTCAGACTCGGTTGAATACTGCGTAAGTCAGGCAGAAGAACTAACAGGGAGGTCAGGGACATTAAGGCAGGCATATAGCTGGCAAGGTCTGAAACTAAATTCTCGAGGGCTGTAAGTAAATGAAGCAGACAAGCGTACCCCCTCCAATTAAAGTTTCAATTAACTGCCCGGCAAAGCCCACTGGTTTCCAGACATGCTGCACTCAAACGTGCCCTCGCTGTCTGACATGCTGATCGTTAACGGTAAAACAATCCTGCCCTGACTAGGAAGAGGGTTAAATCTGACACATCTAACTTCACGCAAGGGACCTGAAGAAAAGAGGTCCCGCAGGCCGCTGCAAATTAACAGCAAAGTCTGGAAAAATACGCAATGGCAAATATTTTTTCTATTCTGGCAACTGACAAAGGCAGGCCCTTTGAACCAGTTGTGCACATAAATATCTGTGGAAGACTATCAAGGGTCTGAAACTGGTGGAAAAACCTGGGGAAGAGCAGCTCTAGACAGCTTTATACAAAGCCTGAAGGTTTTTCTGGCAGAAACCAGTAGCCAGCTCTCATTCTTAACAACTCTCACAAGCACTACAAAGCAACTTCTGCAGGGGATAAAGGGAACAAATTACTCAGCACTTTGCACCCTAGAGAAACAGCAGCTTTGCCAAGAATAAATCTCCTGGGAAGGTACAGCCTTTCAAAATAACAAATAGAAATCACACAGAAAGGCCTGGCAAATTAGGTCATGCTGTCCAAAAATTAAAATCATGTATTTAATAAATACTTGATCAGTTCAAAAAAAAAGGAAACGGAACAGCTTCCTTCCTCTCCTTAAGAAGGGACATACCGGAATCAAAGCAAAGTGCAAAAATCCCCGTTGCTCCAAGATAGTCCTGAACATCAGATAAAAAACAGGAACAGGACTCAGCTTGTCCATGAAGATGACTAAATTAGAGTTTTCCTCTTGAGGACAACCAAGGGCTGGATCTCAGTGAATTTACTACAGATGATCAAAAAATGTGACAGGGTGAAAGTCAGACAAGGGCTAGCCTGGATCAGCTCCGAGGAAGTTTATTCTTCCACGTACTTCCACCATCCAAATCATTAAGGGTGGCTCCAAGAGTTAGGGCAGCGCCAAGGTCCACTGGCTCAAATGCTCGCCGTGCTGGTCTCACTCTGCTGCCACCTGCTCTTCATCAAGTCCTGCTGCACGCTCAGAGCTTTCAGGTTTTTGTGTTGTGATCTCTGCACTGTCTTCTTCAAGACAAGCGGATGCCATGCTCTGCTCAAGACCCTCTGGAACTTGTTTCTTGCCCATGATTTCCTCTTCCCCTTTTTCACTTGCACTTTCTGCCTTTTTATGCTGTTCTACCCCACCTACCTCACTCTTGCCTCCCAGGAGGGTGCTGTTGCAACAGTGCTGATCACTCCTCGCTGTGACTTCATGTCCACTTGACTCCAAGCCATCACTTACTGGAGAAGTCCAGCCAGCCTCGGGGAACTTGGAACCAACTGGGGAAGTCACAGCCCCACCATCTGCGTCACCATCGCTCTTCTCACTTGTTACTTCCATGGCTGCATTTTTCTCACTGACATTTTCTTTCTTGGCCTCAGGGTTTGCAACAGATGGATTTAACTTGGCCCTAGAGGCAGAAGACCCCATGCTCAGGTTTATGGCCAAGTTGTACGTCTTGCCTCTCGCCGTTCTTTTATCCACTTTCCTCCGTTTTACAGCTGCATCAGCCACCTCCGGCACTGCCGAGTCTTTGGTGCTTGCATCATCTTCTTTCAGTTCTTCTTGGTCCTCTTCTGCTTGCGAGAGAGGAACCGAGGAGTGGATTTCTGCATCGATTGCACATTCTCCCAGATTACGGGAAATGTTTTCTATATCAGTAGGGCTTTTCACTGATCCACTCTTTTTGGTGTCTGCCATATTAGCATCCAGTTTTCTCTTCTTGCTCTCCTTTGTGCAATCATTCTCTGCTGTACCCTGCGCTTCTTCAGCCTCACTCTTTAAATCCCTCTCCTCCTGCTGAGTACACAAAGCCTCTTTCACCTCTTCACCATCTCCTCCCTCCAAAACACATTCACTTATCTTTTCTTTCACATCTTCATCGTTCGCTTTAGGTTGCGAGTCTGCAGCATCTCCAGCTTTCTGTTCCTCCTCTGTAGACTGGGTCTGATCCTTTTCCACAGAATCATCACATTTTTTACCAGGAGTTTCCTGTTTATCTTCAGCCTTTTGGTGCAGCTGTGGCTTAGCAGAGCGGGGTCTGTACTTTAAGAGTTTGTCATGCGGCCCCCACACGAAGCTGCCCTGAGGTCTGAAATATTGCCAGGCGTAGTGGACTAGTTCTCTTCTCTTCCGTCGGCTTCTGATAGTGAACAAGAAGTAGTCCAAGGCACTTCTCTTGACATTTGGCAATGTTTCCTTAACAAGAGTTTCTGTTAGGAAAAACTTTACCAAGTGCACTTGATAGTGTTCATATCCCATCTCCCCCAGGCACTTCAGGATGCGAGTAATCCGCAAATTGTTGTGGCTGAACCTGAACGAAACAGGTAAGGGGAGTTAACTGAAAATCTCACAAGTCACTACAAACCTCCCGGGCATCTGTGAAATGTCTGGTGCATTACTGACTGTGATCTATTAAAGACTATTTGACAATGCAGATGGGAGTGCAGGTACTTTTAAAGCCCCTACAGCTGCTTTTACACATGTTAAGGCAGCTTTATAAACAATCACGGAAGCATATGGAAACACCCTGATTTTGTAGCTTAACAGAAAATGTTCCAGCGATTTTTGCTTAAAATATGGGTTTAAGCACATGCTCTGTTAGAGCAAGTATTAACACATCCGTGTTTTGTACTTCAGGAGACCAACATGAAGAATTCCTGCTATTAACAGCTGCACCAGACATAAAAGAAAACCAGTCTCAACTGCTTTACTTATTATACTTGTCACTTAGTAAGGTGACAGAGTGTGATGACCTACAGTCAGAGACTGAGCCAAATTAAAAATACTCTAGCTAGCTAACTTGTTTATCAACAAATACCTCCATTCCTCAGGAGCTGAGGATTTTCTCAACTTTTGACTTTTCTTCTCAAAGAAGTGTCTGAGTGTAGCAAATGACCAGCAGTACCACCAGACTCACCGGTTCAGGTTTTGAAATCGTTCAGCCCAATTCTCTGCTCTCTTGAGTTCTCCAGTTTCCTCGTTGACCAGGATGATTCCATAAAATCTCAGCATGAGCTGATAAGCACGTAGAAACCTCTGCATAACTTCCTTGGACTTCTTAAAGGCCTGAAAAAAACAACAAACCAATGAGTACAAGGTGCAACTCCCTAAATACCTGCACCAGTTTAAGCACCTAAATTATAAACAAAGCTTGATTATATCACTGAGCATTTATTCTGCTGGTGTAGCTACTGGCAACCACAAGACAGACAAATGCTGAACAGTGCTTGAATGAACTCCGTTCACACTAAGGCCCCAAGGAAGCAATGTAAAAAGCCACCTAGATGTCAAATGGAAGGCATTTTGGGAAAATCTCAACATCCTAGAGAACTAACAAAAAAAAGACAAAAGAGACAAAAGCTTTTAATACCCGGATTTCTTGACATGTGAGTGGTTTGGCACGCCAGTTCATCCCATGTTCACGTAAAGGGAACAGCCTGAAAAGAAAGAAATTTTCAGCCCAGGTGAGCAAAGATGACATTCAACCCAGAGTACCCATTTTCTTAAAACTAAAAATGATCCCAAAAATTTCAATATCACAGGCATCTCTTGTAGACCTCATACTCTTACAGACACAGATGTAGTTTATTATATGGCAAGTGGATCCTTCCCATAAAAGCACTGCCTACACCAATGACAACAAAATATGTTGCTTATCTGAACCTCTCTCGTTGCCCTAATGCTTTGCTCTGCAGTAACGCTGCAAGACCAAGCATGACCGAGATCTGCGCTGCACAGCTGCACTGGAAACTGTCTTGCATTGTTTCCAGAAGAATATAACTCAATAAAAACAAAGCAGACAGAGGTTTCACTCCAGATTAATTCCAACTCTTAAAAGATACACAATATTGACACAGAGGGTTTACCACTGTATATAAGAATGGTTTTCTTCCAGAACTTCATAGTTGTCCCACCAAGATTCAAGCAGATTGTCAATATGCAAACCTGAAAAGAAAAGGAAAAAAGTCAGGCAAGAAGGAACAACACCAAATGAAAATTAAAATCAGCCAGTCACCTAAAGTGGCTTATTATCCAGAGCCAGATGTTCACATAAAGGCATTAACTTCTACAACTGAACAACCAGGTCAGAAAAAACCCTTTGTTTTCTACTATCAAACAGAAAATTAAGGAACATACAACCAGAACAAGGACACTTTAAAATGAAAATTCTTGGTGTTGTTTTGTTTTGGTGGTGGGTTTTGGATTTTTTGTTTAACAATTGTCCCACATGGATCAAGCTACTCTTTCACCAGTTCAAGCAGCTGCAGCAGAGTTGCATCAGTTATCACACAAAGTACTCACCATGGGGCAAAAAACAGATTTCATTTTTATAAAAGCTTAAGTTCCACATCTCTTCTTCCTCTTCATTTTCTGATTCTATCAAACCCTGGAGATGAGAACAAGAAATCAACAAGCAGCAACCTTAAGAAAAGGCAGTATTCACTTCAACAATTCTTGCTTTCCCCTCATATTTCTGAAACATTTCAAGCTAAATCCTTGAGGCATGTTTTGGGAAGTAACAGCTTGTTTCTGACGCACTCACATACACAGCATTCCTTTCCCCTCAACAAACAAGACCTTTAAATGTTCTGAGCCTGTCAATGTAAAGACAAAAGTGTCTAGAAAGTGCTCCTAAACTCAGCATGCAGTGAGGAAGAGCCAGGAGTACGTGTGCATCATCGTTTAGTCCGTACCGGGTAACGATGTCTGTATCTCTGCAAGTCTTTCGCTGCATTCCAGTTGCGCCTTCCTATGGACTAGAAAGAGAGACAGATCAGAGATCCACAATAAAGCTGCCTTCTGAAATAAATAAAGAGAAAATATTTATTTATTTTCCCTATATAAATAAATACATTTTCAATGACCAAATTCAGGATCTTTCACACATGTTCCCCTGCTTTTCTCTCTCCTGTGCCCTCTGCTCTGTGCTCCCACCACTCTCAGAACCAGGCAGTTTGTTACTGCAGCTGTTTCTCTGCATTCCTGAAGACGACTCTGGGCTAAGTTCACATCATCCCCTTGAGCCAAACCACTTTTTCTTTTAGTCTTGTTAATCAAGGTCTTCACGCTTTATGCTACCATTTATCCCAGTTGGGTTTTCCTACAGGAATGGTCAAAACTAGCTGGAAATCCCAAACAGAGAAATGTCAGTTTCTTCCTCAACTCAAAGATTTTAAAACAAGACAAACCAAGCCCTGCTCATCTGTCTCTATGTCACCACACACCCTAGACAGGACAGAGATCAGGCTTTAAAATTACAGCATTTAAGATGCAGAAACAGCCCTTACACTCAAGATTCTCATTCCCTGCAGACGTTACTGAAATAAAGCTTTCTTCACCTTTGCTTTACACTCAAGAACAGCCTCGCTGATTAGACAGTGGACAATAATAGAGCCACATGGTCACGTTAGGTATTTATTTTCTCGGATTTCCATTCCAATCATCGCCTTCATTAGTGCTCATCTCTCCAACTAACCAAGCTTTATATGTCAAGCCTACCTGAAAACGCCTCGGAAACAACAGTGACGAATTTGATCTTGGCTCCTACAAATAAAAGGAATTTAGCTGAAACATTTTGAAACCAAACTTCACTAATAAAATATAAAAAAAAAAGCAAAATTAGAATACCCACAGCAGTGACTCACACCATCCCTATTAGTTGCCAAGTGACAGATTTACCTAGTTAGAGCTGAATTCACTTGATTTTATTTATAATTCAAATTGCTACAGAGAAAAACCTGCGGTGCTACATCCACCTGACAATTAGGTGTCAGGTTCTCCTCGCTACACAGGTGGGCTACAGTTGTTCCAAATGTAGCATTTAGACAGAAATCAAAAAGCACAGCTTCATTTCTCCCTCTGAACTTCAAGAAAATAAAAGCTGCAAGTATGACTTTATTTTAAATGCATTTGACTGAACTACATTTTTTTTTTTTCAGTGGATTACTTCAGTAAGAGATTTTGTTACAAACAACACAGAGAGGTTTAACCTCGCTGAGTGCTGAACCACCTCGTCCCGTGAAAGAGCTTTGAAGCATTCTGTCTAGGCAGAACCACCAACACCGGCAAGATTGCTCAGGAATGAAAGGACCCACCCGACACGAAGCGCAGGGTGCTCAGAGCATCCCACGCCAGCTCCAGCAAGAGCAGGGTCTTTGTGAAGCAGTGATAAGATGTGCAGACTCTTGCAAAATAAGCATTTTAAGAAAGTTAGGAGAAAGAAGCAGCAAATGCTCTCCCAAGTTATCTTGTAACTTCATTTAGTACTTCTTAACCTCATTTGCACAGAGAAAAATAAAAAGAACAAACCCACTCTCTACAGAAGGCTGACCACCTGTTCATTAATTATAAAGGTAGGAACTAAATGAGATTTTCTAACACCTTGTTGTAATGAAGTCATCCATTCAGCTGCCCTGTTGATTGTCAATGCTTAAAATTTATGAAGCATGCACAGCATTTGGGAGATCAAAGTGTTACCCCTAGAGGGAGGTCATCAATCCAGAATTTCTAAAATTATGTTTTCAAAATACCTTTACACACTATGGTTGCCCCATACTTTGGTGACAGGCATTAAGTGAAGCTCAAACCGCTAAAAAAAGTTAAAAGCACCAAAATGCAAAAGAGCTGCACAGACACACCTGCGAGAATTGCGTATATCGACCTGTTCCTGTGTGACCTACTGGAGGTGATCCTGCTCTGGCAGGGGGGCTGGACTAGATGATTTTTTGAGGTCCCTTCCAACCCCCAACATTCGGTGATTCTGATTCTGTGATTCTGTGGAGTATTTGCAGTGACACAAGCGAAATGCAAAGATCAAAGCAGAATATTAAGCTGGTTCTGAAGGTGCAGAATGAAAATAATAATAATAATAAAAACCCTCTAATCTCAGTATTAAATAAAAACATTAGAGGCTTCAATGCTGACATACAAAAAGTATATCATCTAGGCTGAGAGGGGAAGAACGAGAATTAGGGTAACATAAGCAGAAACAGGAACTAGTTTTGGGAGCTGATTCATGCCCTCGGCAGGTTGGAAAGGCATAAATGGATAACAGAAGATTTACTATTTCTTTTTGTATTTGTTCGCACTGCCCTTAAAAACTTTTTCAGGCACTGTCAGACAGAGGTGACCACACATTCATCACTGAAGGAAGAACTCCTCCCTAAAGATGCAGAACAATATTCCAGAGGCTGTAAGTCTCAGGTCTGATATTCTCCTTTGCAAGGCAAAGTTCCAAAAGTCCACTCATTGGAGTGAGAAAACGATCCTTGCTTTTACAATTGCCACAATTCTGAAGCTGCTCTAGGGGAAAAAAAAAATTCTGAAGAACAAATAGGTTAAAAAGAATAATCTGAACATTCCAGAGGCATCAAAACTTGTGAATGAAACCAGAACTCTGGCCATCTACAAAAGAAAATTGACAGTGGCCCTCGAGCAATGCCAAACACTACAAAGGAAACTCTGCCTCTTCTCTTAAGCTCCAGCTATTTTGCCTAAAATACCCATGACCTTTCACAGCTCAGCCCTAACTACACTCCCTGCAGAAAACTCCATGAAGACACAGAGCCATCCACGGGCACACCCACCTGCTCTATTTCCAGTTTGATTTCCTTTGCAAAGTATCAGGTGTGTATTTTTCTAGGAAGTCATGAGTGTTTGGAATACTACACTGCATAGAACTCTTTGTTTGTTTGTTTTATATTTATATGGCAGGTTATTTTAATCTCTTAATGCTTATAAAAAATTTAAACTTTAGTATTAAGCGCCTTTAAAAGCGTATTAATTAGAAAGCTTTATCTGCCTACTCGTATTCTAAAAATACGGATGAGTTGTTGAAATGAAACTAAAGTGAAGGATTAGTTTCCCTTCCCCGAAAGGGGAGAGGTTTAAGGACTGTAGCATGTTCTGAGTGACCCAGGAAATACTGAAAAAGAGAGACACTGTTCTGTGTTTTTGATGGGTGTTGTTTAGTTTTCAGAGGTGCTCTAAATATAATTCATAGGGAAAAAAAAACCAAAAACATGTCTAAAGGGAATACAAAGCTGCAGTCCACTTGAAAAACTGAGCAGAGGTTACTTGATGGCTTTTTATGAGCGGCACGAAGGGTCACCACACAAAGATGAGGATATCAACAAAAAAAGCTTGAAAGCAAGGAGCTGCTGAAGAATATCAATGTCGCAGAGTCAAACGTAGCAGCCATCGGGATGTGCTGGATGGTGTACGTGTATGGCAGGTGCCACACGAGGTCAGAGCCTATATTGATGGGATAAAGTGTCCAGATCCCAGGGAATGGTGGGGGGGAAAAAAGAAAAAAACCCTAAAAGCCTGCTTGTGGCAGCCTGATGGCACAGAAGGGGTGACAAAGTCCAGGCACATCTTTGCCTTTGCCACCCGCAGAGGTCATTTCGGAACGGGCCCCAGGTCGTCTCTTCTCCCCGAGGGTTTGGACAAAATTACA